ACACCCAACACCAAAATACAAGCACCCGTTGAGTGACAACAAGCGAAACGACATAAAGAACGCCGCCGCCGCCGCCGCCGCCGCCGCAGTCAACTCCGACCCACGCCGACACAAGCACTCACATCAAGCTCCAGCAGGAGCTGAAGCACGCTCAGGGCCGGCGGCACCTCAACCCGGTGTCTCGCCCAGAGGGAAGGAGGCGGCGGCGGCGGCGGGCTGTGCGTGTAGACGGAGTCCAGCTCGCCCCACAAAGCACGTGTCCTGGACGCGGGGACATCTGCCTGCGTTCGGAAAACGTTTGGGGGGGGGGAGCAAGGGCGTCTTGTCACGAAAAAAATAAAAACAGTTCCCATGTAGCGCCTCGGCTCCGCGCGCACGTAGGTGGCCTAGCGGTGCGGGCTACCATGCGGGATCGGCAACAAGCAACACGTACGAAACAGACAAAACTATCTCCACCGCCACTGCCTTCTTGCTCTCTTGTTACTCGTCTCCTCTTTTATTCTCACAATTTCCTGGTCATGCCCATCCCCGCTGCTGCCGCTGCTGCTGCTGTTTCCACCCCGTCTTCCAGGGGGCGCAGCGGCGGCGGCCCCTGGCGGTGGTACCACCGGCGACGGCGGCGGCGGCGGCGGCTGCACCATCGGCTGCAAGATCGCGCTGCAGAACGCTTCTAGATCGCTCCCGTGACCACCACCGCCATCGCCGGATTTCACTCCGGCAGCTGCAGCAGAAGCGGCGGCATCTCTGCCAGCGCCGGAAGGACCACCGGACGATGCCGTCGACGGGTCCATGACGTGAACGGCGAGGGTGAGCAGGTGCAGCCCGCGCAGCAGCAACGTGTCTCGCGAGCGCCCTTGGGTTCGTAGCGACAGGGTTAGGGTTATTGGGTTAGGAATCGCCCTTACGAAGAGGAAAATGATACAGAGATAGATTTGAAGCCGTGTCGCGGTCGTGTTGCATGTGGGTCGGGAATAAAACGCATGGGAGGAAAGCCGATCAGATCGCCGCGGGCGAGGGAGCAGCAAAAAAAACATTCCACCCACACCCGCAAGGTGTACGCGTCATTTGAGAAGAGCTTATGTTCTCTACGCACTCCTGTCGGTCTCTCTGTCTTCTTCTTAGCGCTCTCTCTCTCTCTCTCTCTCTCGAGCCTTTCGATGCTGTCCAAAAAAATAATGTATACCTGTGGCTCATTGAAGTCTCCTCCGCGCGCCCCCTGGCAAGAGAGTCGGGCGAACAGAAACAATTCTAAAGCCCAAGATGGACATGCTTTCATGATTGCAACTCAAGCCCATACACACACAGGTGGTGTCGAGTAATTTCGAATTAGAACACTAGGCCCTGCCGTCCATCCCTCCTCGCCCATGGGAGCCCAGCAATATTCGCCCCACCGTAAGAATGACATATTTCATTGTTTAGCGGGATACCGCGGTCGATGCTAACTTAAGAAACACGATGCAATTCACATATAGACACAAGACCCGTCAAAAAGAAGAATCGTTCCAGCCTCGCTAAAAGTACTGACGTTCATTCATTGGTCAGCGTGTTACGGCTGTCGACGCTTGGTTCAAGAGACACACATGCAAACGTCCGCCAGCACACACCTGGGGTTTTTCTCGAACAGTCCAGCAGCACCTGGCCCACCACCCTAAGCATGGTCTCGTCCTTCACCAAGTCCACGCGTAGCTGCTTGAACAGTGGGTGAGCCTGGGTGACGTTCGCGATGGAGTTGTACAAGTAGGCGAACCAGGTTGACAGAAGGGAAGGAGGGCGGTTGGCGCACGGTCAGCAGCGAACGGTAAAAACAACGCACGAAACAGCGCCCAAGAGGCCGCGATTGCCACGGAAACGTCCGTTAAACCAGAGCCATAAGAAAGAACGAGAGGAGTTGAAAGCAGGACTCGTTAGCGTGCTGCTTCCGGGCGAGGGGACCCCCGCTGGACTGGGGACAGCAGTTTGTTCTACTGCATGTCACTTGGCGAAATGCGGCGGACTTACTAACCAAACCGGTCGGCCCAACTAGACGGGGGTACATCATGCATACCTCGGGAGGGGGCGGGGCCACCGGCGTGGGCCCCTTGATGGCCGGCCGCCGCTCGCTGGCCTGCTGGTGGGCCTGTGGATCCAACGAAAACAACCATAACGGCAGCAGCAACAACAAAAACAATGGCATAAGAACAACTACCGAAAGATCGACCGAACCACAGCAACAAAAAAACAACAAACAACAACAGCAACAACAATGACAAGAAACACAAGACCAACACCAAGGACGAAACATGCAGGCATCGGCGAACACCCGCTCACGGAGCGAGCCACAGCACAACAATGGGAAAGGTCTACAAGCTTCAGCAGAAAGGGCGGGAAGAGACGCAACCAATCGGCGCCCGCTCACCTGGAGGGACTGGTGGAAGAAGGTGCTGTCATACTCCGCCGCGAAGACCTCAGGCTTGAGCACGAACCGGCCCGAATCCAGGGCGTTGGACGGTTCCCTTCTCGTCGCCACGTCTCGGAGGATCGCCTCCATCATCTGGGAGGCGGACGAGAAATTTTGTTGTCGTTTTTGTTGTCGTTTTTGTTGTCGTTTTGTGGTGGTTGTTGTTGATGTTGTCGTCGTCGTCGTCGTTGTTGATGTTTTTGCTGTTGATGATGATATCGCTGCTGTGGTTAGATGTTGTTGCTGTTGCTCTGGTATCGTTGTTTCGTCGTTGTTGAGATTGTTGGGGTGTGTCTACACCGCTAGCAGAACTTACGGCGCCATATCAAAAATGGCGTCAGAGCAAGCAGGCGCATACAACACCCGGAGCTACAAACACGCGTGGAAATACAAGCACCACACAACGTACGCAACGACGCACGCACACGTTGCTGACACACAAGCCAGCCACGACTGCCGGCACAACAAACACAACAAATCAAAAACTATCACTACCCCCCCCCCCCCCCC